ATATTTATTTAAAAATAATAAATAATTCCAATAAAAGTATAAATTTTCAAAATTAAATATTAATTTATAAATGTGCTTTATATATCCAAATGTTTTTTTATAAAATTTCAATTTTATATTTCATTGTAATGAATATTTATATTTTATATAATGAAACTTAGATGTTTTTAATGCAATAATGCAATAATACTTATATAATCATGTAAATTATAAATCATATCATATTATAATAAAATATTTTTATACTTTTTTAAATGTTTTTTTAAATATCTAGATATTTATATGTATAGATAATAATCAATAATATAATAAAATGATTTGTTATTTTATATAAATATATTATTATAATATATAATATATATATATTATATATTTTATATAATTAAAAATATATAAATATATTTATAGCTTATTATATATTATAGTATATATATTATAGTTTTTCATGTTTTAATTGACAAATGTCTTAGAATTACTTTTTATTTTATTAAATATTTAATCACATTGACATAAAAAAAATAATATAACCAATAATATGATCAATAAAAAAATATATAAAAAATTTTACTTTTAAAAAATTATTTTTATAATTTTTTAGAGTATATTAAAATTTTGGACAATTAAAGATGAATACAACAATGTCTTATTGTCCTCCAAATATTACTTTTACTGATATTTGGATAGACCATGGAATGTCCAAATGTTTTATGGATACTATCAGTATCACTATTATTTCATCATATTTATTAATTTTTGGAACAATTCAACTTTGGATATATCAAAAATATGGAACAGAAACTGCTACAACTTTATTGCCTAAAAATAAATTATATATTGTGCAAAAATTCTTTCTTTATTTTGTTCCAATACTGAGTATAATAAGAATAATTTTACAAGGAACAATTTTAAATGACACTAAAATATATGGTTATATGGTAAGAGATTTTCTTTAATTTTTATAGATAATAATGTTTTGAAATATTTTTAATTTTAAAATATAAATTATTTCAATATTTTTTTAGATACTTACAACAGTATTAACATTAATTGTATACCCATATTCAATATATATATTAAAAATTGAAAGACATAAATTATTACCAAGTGTGCCACCAAGAGGACATGGTTTTGTATTATTGGGCTTTTGGACTTTGGCATTTGTTTCAGAAAATCTTGTGTTTGTTAATATTGGAAAACTTGAATGGTGGTTTCATTTAAATACGTAAGTTTCATAATAATGTATTTTCTTTATATATATAATATAATTATATATGTATTTTTTAATTAATTAATATTTTTATATTAATGGAGC